TCTCTCTCTCTCTCTCTCTCTCTCTCTCTCTCTCTCTCTCTCTCTCTCTCTCTCTCTCTGTGTGTGTGTTTGTCCCGCACTGGACAGACTCCACGACCGTCGCACACGGCATGCCCTCTCTTAAACCCTCCTTGACACGCTGTCGGGGACCCTGTCGGCCGCGTCACGTAGGATTTTGAAGGACTTGTTGCATAGCGTGTTCACTGCTCCACCCGAATGCGCCAGCCGTACCTCTCGCGGGCCCCTACGATAGGACAGGGTCACGCGGGGCACTCCTTACCTCCACCCGCGGGAGCTGTCACCATCTCTTGGGTGGGCATATCCCCGCCGAGCTACCGAACCACATGCAAAAGCTTTTCGTATGCAATCGCAGAGGTGGCCCGGCCGAGGGCGTTTCTCATTCGTTGTAGCATAGGGGGTACGCGCGGTCTTACGCCTCTATCGAACCCGCACGCGAACCGACGCACTGGGGGGCTGAAGTCCGAAACGCATTTCGTCGTCGGTCGACTAGGACTCATCCTACATACCACTCATTACACCACAACACTCGCACACACGGAACGACACAAAACAAACAACACAATAACACAACAACACAACAACACTCCTAGTATCCATCCCATAACCTTTTAACACGAAAATCGGTTAGGCGTCGCGCGCGAGACTCAAGATAGAACCGCACGGACACTTGGGCTTTCTCATATCGACTAGCAATGCAAGTATACGCACGCAGTCGCATCGATGGAGTATTATGTAGTACCCATAATCACACGATTCTCAATGATCTCGAGGGTCACGATCGACACTCAAGTGTCGGCTGACACGCGTCTTGAGGGGTTAATCTTTTGACGCTAGACAACCGCCAAGGCGATTAATCACCACACCCTCTTTTGCACCCTGCGGAGAGTGGGTGGTACACAGGTTCATACCTGTGGTGGCAATCGTCTCTTATTGCCCTGGAGACCAGCTCCACCATCCAAGGCGTGGAGAGAACTCAAGGGGTTTGACTTTGACGGTTGCCACGGACTATAACGTCCAACTATAAAACTATAAAAAGCAAAAGGATAAAAGGGGAATCTCCCTTTTCTCTCAAAGCATAATTTGTTTAACCCTTGCGCACGGTCACAATAGGTCGCGTGAACACCCAACGCATATGTATGTACATATATATAGAGGGCTATAACGCTTAAATATCGCACTAACGCTTAAATATCGCACTAAGTTCAAAAGAAGCACGCTGAAGAAATTTGGTCAACAGTTTCAATGTGCTGAGACAGGCGTGGTCCTATATAAACCTAATAGTTTATTGATAACATTATCGAACGATGATTCGTGGCATGGTCTTAATATATGGATCAAATACATTTCGTCCCACATATATCGTATCGATGAGATATATATCGATCGCACTACGATGGTTTACTATCTATAGATAGATGCCAATTGGAGTATGTATTGTATTTGTATTGTATATAGACTTGAATATAATGTCACGGGTCTCATCACTTCTCACGATGACAGTGGGACTCCTCGCAGGCAGTCAAATCCAAAGTCCGAACCACCAAACATACTTGCAATCACATCAAAGATTCAACCAAAAGTCCATGTGCTACTCGGGTCAAATTCAACCATTCTTTGCACTCACACCCCTCGCTTTAGCCATACAAGCCTCACTCTTTGTGCAACTCTTAAAATAAAATACTCAGCATCTTTATTAAATGGCTATTCAGATAAAGTCCGGGTAAAAACACAACGAAACAAATCAAACCACAGGGCTAAAGCCTTTAGGTTGAGTGGCAAGAGCGGATTGGAGTTGAGTCGAAAACCGACGAATCGGTAACCGACCTGTTATCAGTGATAACAGAAGATGATCCTCGTGGGATCAAGCTGATACTAGTCCAAATCTTGAATCAATTTGAACAAAGGTGACCTGCAATGCAGCACAGGCTAGTGCCCAAGCCATGCTTTTAAGTGATCATGAAATAAACCTACCTCCCTAACTAGCTTATGATGTTTATAAAAAATGTTTGAAATTTCGGTAGTACATCTCCTAAACGAGGGCAGACTGTCGATTTCTCACGTTCTAAAATATCCTAACTCTTCTAAGATACAAAAAATTTCGACAGTGCTTCCTGTAGGAAAAGTGTCTTCCCAGGATTTATACAAAGGTAAATACAAGATAAAAATTAACTCTGACTTTTACAAAGCCATTTTTTGTCTAACTCCCTGAATTAGTAAAAATTTGGGCAGCATCTCCTTTAGAGAGGTAGGCTTCCCATATTTATACTAAGTCGTATATGAATTCAGTTAAAAAGTTGAATTTGTAAAAAACAAAATTTATCTAACTCTTTGAATTTGCAAAAAATTGGGTAGCGCTTCCCGTAGGAAAAGTGTTTTCTCAAAATTTATACAAAGCCAAAAATATAAAATAAACTTATCCCAAAAAATGTTGAAATTGAACTAAGTAAAATAAATTTAACCCAGAAAATGCAGGAATTGAATTGACTCCTACAACTCCAGCACACGACGAGCATCTAAAGCGTCTAAGCTATCAAGAGATGCCCCAAACGAGTGTCCGCAAACATGCATAGACAAACATCCCTCTCAATCCCACATCAGTTTGATCCAAGTAGTTCGTTAATCTCTCAATTCTTTTAACCCTTTATGACCCTCTTTCCTATGGCATAGGAACAAACCGCCCCAACTTCGGGGTACGCCTGACCTGCCTAAGCAAGTGACTAGGATACGCACAACTAGGCTGCCCCAACTTAGGGGTATGCCCAGCTTACATGACTAAAACGTATGTCCAAACTGCCCCAACTTAGGGGTATGCCTGACCCAACATAAACTATGAGCATAAAGCATGTGACCATACTGCCCCAACTTGGGGGTACGCCTCGCTTCTGCTTAACTGATGACATGAAGCATAAGACTAGACTGCCCCAACTTAGGGGTATGCCTAGTCAGCCTCAAACGAAGTTTACGTAGGGCATAGGATTAGACTGCCCCAACTTAGGGGTATGCCTAAGCTGCCTAAGCAAACACAAACGACGAATGGTCAGACCGCCCTAACTTAAGGGTACATCCAACCTTACATAACATCAACAACAAGGGGCATATCGCTAGGCCGCCCCAATTTAGGGGTACGCCTAGTTCGCCTAAACAATTTAAGATACATAAGGCAGTGCGACCAGATCGCCCTAACTTAAGGGTACGCCTGATCTGCCTAAACAAGATACAAACGACTAAGCCGCCCTAACTTAGGGGTACGCTTAGCCTCTGTAACAACAGTTCAAACATCCATAAATACTTTGCATAAACTTAACAACTTTCTTTCTTCTTAGGCAGATAGTCAGACCTACACAACTTAGGGAGACAT